TACACAGACCTAGATGGTATAGCCTATGACACACCTAGGCTGTGTGGTATAGTCTGTTGCTCCTAGGCTACAAACCTGTACAGCATGTGGCTGTACTGAATACTGTAGGCAGTTTTAACCCAATGATAAATATTTGTGCATCTAAACATAGAAAAGTTACAGTAAAAATATGCTGTTATAATCTTCATATATGCAATCATATGCTTTCCTCCTTGCTCACAGGACAAGGACACTCAGCCATAGGGTGGTTGTATCTGCCTTTCTCCCCCTGCAAGTCTCCTTCAAATGACTTGCAAAGGTCTTTATTAGGTCTCCACTCAAGAGTCACCTCTTCAGAGAAGCCTTCTCTATTCCATTTAAAACTGTACCCATCATTTTTCACTATTTGATATTATGTCATATACTTACCTATTTGCTTGTCAGTCTCTCCTCCTCTACGTTACACCTATAATGCAAGCTCTATGAGGGCAAGGACTTGTTTGGTTTTCTGCTATAGCTCCAGTACCTAGAATCTGACCAGCATATCGTGGGCTCTCAGATGCCTGATGAGTGAGTGAAGATAACCTTCACTCCTTAGGGCTTTTGTACCCACCAGGCCTTCTGCCTGGCTTCCCCCTCGCCCTTCTGTTTGCCTGTTACCTTCTTTGCATTCTTTTTTTTTTCTGTTTTATTGTTTTGATACAAGGCAATCTTTGCATTCTTTAGATCTTAGCTTAAAATGTCACCTCCTCAGAAAAGCTTTCTCTGATTACCTTATTCTAAATTAAGTTCTGCTACCTAACTCCCACTTTCTATCTCACCCTCTTATTCCTGCTATAGTATAACAACTTCCCTTTATCTATTTGCCTGTGGCCCCATCCCCATTTCTCCCCACTAAAATATAAGTTCCATGAGGGCAGGGACCACCATGGCTGTCTCATTCGCTACTGTATTCCCAGGGCCCAGAACAGTTCCTGGCAAATAATAGGCACTGGAGAAATTTGTTGTACTTTTTTAATATCCACAAACTGGAAATAATCCAATAGCTTCAGAATACTGAGTGCGGTTAAAGAATGAGTTTGTTTTATATGCACTGACGTGGAATGATGTCCAAGATATACTTAGTGTAAAATGTGATAGGCAAAACAGTGAAATTCCTTTTATGTAATTAACACTATGTGCATAGAAAAAAATAGAAACATAATAGATTGGACCCCAGTGATCATTAGGGTGTGAGGGAAATCAGAAAAGATGTCAGCTTCCTACATCATGTATTTCTGTATTGCAAACTATTTTTTAAAATAAACACTAACATATGTGCACTTAATATATGCCAGGCACTGTGGTAGACACTGTGTACTGTGGAAACACCAAGATTTCATAGGATCTTCTCAATAGCCTTATGAGATAGGTTCTAGTATCATCATCCCCATTTGAAATGAGGACATTGGTTCAGGGACATTAACTAATTCACACAAGGTCACATAGCAGACCCATTGCACTATGCCACCTTCTTGCGTTTTTATAACATTTTTAAAAAAGGGAAAGGAAAATAAGATGAAACTAGGGGTAACAGATTTCAGGATCCAGCCTTTATACAAAAGATACTAAGCAAATTTGGCTCTGAGCTCCCTGGAAACCAGGGAAAAAGAAAAACATGATCAGTTATGAGATCCTTGGTGCTTAAAAGATAAGAGCAAACCACTGATCAGAGGAAACACCTCTTCAAAGTGCTGAGGTTTGAGAGAACGCCATAAAACTCATAAATACAGCAGTATCCAACCAGGTGGTCTACAGCTTCAATAACACACTTGTATACCCAGGTAACCAAACAAAAGTTCAGTAAGCAATTCCACAAGGGACCAAATTTCTACAGCTGGGCATCAGAGCTTGTGATCTGGCTAGAGCAGTTAAAATTGGACATGTGGCCACTCTCCAGCAAACTCCTGTAAGATTGCAAACCTCAACCTATTAAAAATTAAAGACCTAGCAAGAATTGGGAAAACAGAAGTGACTTTCATCTTAACTTCCAAGTAGGCTGGGTTATTTTATGTCTCTTTTACAGATGAGGAAACTGAGGCTAAGAGAGCTTTAAGTTATAGGTTAGAAAATGTCAAAGCCAGCCTTAAGCCCAGGTCTCAGGCTTCCCTTCCCTAGTCATGCCTACCACACTTCGACGACAGAGCTTACACCCTCAGAATCTCTGTGGACGGTGGCCACAGGACCAAGGAAGCTTAGGTGTTAGCCTGAACACTGGAGGGGAGCTGGGGAGGAGGGGAGGTAGGCACAGGGGTCAGGGTGCACACATTCTCCAGAGGGCCACTGTAACAACCCTTCACCCTACCTTGCACTCCAAGGAGGGATGTAAAGCTCCCTTTACACCCATGAGGAAACACCACCCCCAAAATAAAAATTATCTCACAGTGTACACTTGACTTCACTCATTTATTTACTTTTCTTTACAAGTTGGGGATGTCGCTCCCTCAGCTTTGTGGGAAGTGGGGGAGCTCTGGTAGAGGGAGGAGAGGAGGGAAAAGTTGGGGCTTACAGAAGGGCAGGCTGAAAAAGGGAAGGAGGAGTGAGGGAACAAAGGGTCCAGGCCCTTCTACCACCCTACTCCTCGCTTCCTAAGCCCCAAGAAGGAAAGAAGAACAGAACTCGCAGAGATGTCCTTGATTGCTTTTCGTCCTCCCTCAACGTCCAGCAATAATGCGAAAGAAATTAAAGAAGCGCAGGATGGGGGCGGCGGGCAGTCATGGAAAAAAAATCAAAGACAGGAGAGGTGCACCGGCTCCCGCGCACGGGTGCGGCCTCTGTCTGCCGGCTGGCGGTGGCAGGCGCAGGAAGGAGAGGCGCGAGCATTCTCGCGGGCCGGCCGCTGGGTCCTGCGGCGCCGTCAGCTCAGGCCTCTCCTCTTCCCGGGGCGGCTGCGCTCCGCCGCTTCCCGGGCCGGGCTGCCAGCGCTGTCGCCGCTGTCAGGCCTGCGCACCACGCGCCTGCCCACGCGGTACTCGGGCTCGCGGACGCGCGGCGCCGCCTGCAGCAGGAACTCGCCGCGGCGGTGGGTGACGCGCACGTCGGTGTGCGGGTACGTGCCGTACGCGCGCCGCAGCTCCCGGCGCACGAAGTCCGGCAGCTCCAGGCGCGGGCCCCGCGCGCGCTCCACGCGGCCCCACCGCAGCTCGGCTTCCAGGCTGCTGCCCTCGGGCCACGGCGTCCAGCTCTCGGCCGCCGCTGCCCCCGCCGCCGCGGGCGCCTGCAGTGACGGCCCCGGGACGCCGGCGGCGGGGAAGGGCGGGCGCAGGGCCGCGCCGTAGACGGGCGGGAAGGCCCACCAGGGCGGCGCGGCAGCCAGGGGCGCGCCCGGGCCGTGGAAGCAGTGGTATTCCCGCGGGGCCGCCCACTCGCCCGCACTCAGGCTCCAGGGTCGGCTGCAGAAATTGTGGGCCTGGATGGGGGGCAGCAGCAGAGAGGCGGGCAGGTAGGCGCAGGTGAGGGGCAGCGCCGGCGGCCAGACGCCCTCCTCGGGCGGCAGGCAGCTGTATGAGTACATGGTCCGAACCTCAGGCGATGGCCATTTTCACTGGGGCCTCATCCTGGTCCGGACCTGTGGTGGAGGGTGTGTGGTTACAGACTTTGTTCTTACCCCTATCGGTCCCTGGGGCCTGGTAACCCAGAGCTCTGAATCATAGCTGTGGCGAACTCCCTACATCAAGTGTTTTCGCTCCCCACCTCACCTCTTGTCCCCAGGCTGGGCTGAACCCCCGGCTCCCAGCACGAGTAAGGACCCAAGGCCTTTTCAAGCCCTCAGCTCCTGTGATGCTCTTCCCAGTAACTCCCCACTCACTTGTCTCCTTCAGCCTGGGGGAGCTGGTCCCCAGCATTTGGAGGAGCCAGAGGGATCCTGAGCGAGGCTCCTCCACCACCACTTTTCAGTTGCTCCGTTCCCCTCCATGCCCTGCCTCAGCCACACCTCGCCGTTACCAGGCAAAGGGAAACACCTCGATCTGGCCAGAAGCCAGCCAGCCTCTGTCTGTGCCACGGTGAACACCTGTCATAGTGGCCCTGCCCTAAAGGCAGAGCCCCGAGCTCAGGGACTGCCTCCTCACAGCATCACTGAGTTAGCTCCCAGTCGCTGCACCCCAACCTCTCAGTCCCTCCAGATGGGTTGGGGTACCCTAACATTTGAGTGAAGTTCCTGCACACCAGGCACTCAATCAAAGTTGCTTGTGAGCATCTGACTTCAAGTTTACATCAACACTAGGAAGGTAGTGCTAATATTATCTCCACATTACATAGCAAGAAGCTGCTTGCCTCAGAGTTGGTACACAATAAATGTGTTCAATGGCTGGGGTTAATGTAGGTTAAATAACATGCCCAGACTCTCACAGGTAGTTATGGAAAGGGCAAAATTCAACCTCATGTCTG